CGCTCATCAGCCAGGAGAGCTGTGGGAAAAGCGAGCCTCTTCTGGTAACTCAGGATTTACTTGAAACAAAAGGAGATCCTAGTCTTCAACAGGTGAGTCAATCTTGCCACACAAAACACAGGCAGAGAGCTATATAAACGTCTCCAGTTGTATAAGGTAATAGACATATTAGGTAATATGTGAAGTAAAGACACTCCTTTTTTAGTATTTTATTACTTTAAAGGGGAGGGGCATGGGGCGCCTGGGTGTCTCAGTTGGTTGCGTCTGCCTTTGGCTCAGGTCATGATCCCAGGGTCTGGGAGGGAGCCCCGCCTCAGGCTCTCGACTCCACTGGGAGCCTGCTGCTCCCTCTGCTTGTGCATGCTCTCTTTCATCTATAAAAATGAATAAATAAAAATAAAAGGAAGGGGCAGATGATCCCTCAAGAATAATCAATAGTAATTACTACTTAAAGTTCATTACTTAACATTTGTAGTCTTCATTTAGTTACAGTTTCAGGAACAGTATCTTAATTGTATACCTCAGCCTCTCTTCTTTAAGTGCCATTTTTCATTTAGGCATTAGTGAAAGGATAGAATAGAACTGTGAAATGCAGGGCATTTGCTCAGTAGGTAGAGCATGGGACTCTTGATCTTCGGGTCATGAGTTTGAGCCCCCATGTTGGATGGTGAGATTGCTTTTATTTTTTATTTTTTTAAGTAGGTGCCAAACCCAGCGTGAAGCTCAAGGCAGGGCTAGAACTCACAATCTTGAGAACAAGACCAGAGCTGAAGTCGAGTCAGATGCTTAACCAACTGAGCCACCCAGGAACCCTAGAGAATGACCTTTAAAAAAGAAAAAAAGAAGAGGGGCGCCTGGGTGGCTCAGTGGGTTAAGCCTCTGCCTTTGGCTCAGGTCATGTTCTCAGGGTCCTGGGATAACCCCCCCCCCCAATTGGGCTCTCTGCTCAGCGGGGAACCTGCTCCCCCCCCCCACCCCGCCTACTTGTGATCTCTCTGTCAAATAAATGAATAAAATCTTTTTAAAAAAGAAGAAGAAGAACAGAAATGAAAGGCAATTGTGTAAAAGCATAGTGAAGTATTCTATGAAGCTGTTATTGATTCTAGATTTTTTTAAAATTTACTCTTTTTTACACTTGGCTTTAAGTTTTATTTTTTTCCTTGAAAGGGTATTTTCCATTACAATTAAACAGTGGCAGGGGCGCCTGGGTGGCTCAGTGGGTTAAGCCTCTGCCTTCGGCTGGGGTTGTGGTCTCCAGGCCCTGAGATTGAGCCCCACATCAGGCTCTCTGCTCAGCGGGGAGCCTGCTTCCTCCTCTCTCTCTTCCTGCCTCTCTGCCTACTTGTGATCTCTCTCTCTGTCAAATAAATAAGTAAAATCTTAAGAAGATATATAATTAAACAGTGGCAACTTATAAATACTGGAGAAAATATTAACTTTTAGATATAATTTTAATGGGGATAGCTGCTCAATTGGATTGACGTATTTCAAGTATTTTGTTGTTGCAGTTTCTGAGATGCATCAGCAGTCACTATGTATGATTCCTTTGTGCATTTCTGTGATTATCAAAAATATTGCCCATTTTATTTCATTCATCTTCAAGTAGACTGAAGGAGTAATTTTAATAATTTCTAAATTTTCTATTATACCATCACTATGAGATCCTTCTCGATTTCTAAGGAAAACATAACTTTCAAAACTTTCCTTTTTCATCATGAGAGTCACTTATAAAGTTTAGGTAACTTGGATTCTGAATTGATATGATTTATCCTACTTGTTAAGTAGGCCTCATCCCTGTTCCTAAAAATTACTCTTGGTTAGCTCTGAGATAGCTCTGGGATGATCTGATATGGGGGAAATATTTTGTGTGGGAGGGATATGCAACACTTTTGTTCCTTGTGCCTTCCTTAAGTTCTGTGAATTAACTAAGAATTCATGAATGTCTAGGGCCACACAAATTAGTGCTCTTTAGATAGCAGGGAATTGTAGCAGTAGATTGTGTTAGATAGCAGGGAATTGTAGCAGTAGATTGTGGACAATGCCTCAATTCATTCAAAAGGAGCATTTTAGTTTCTAAATGCTTTTGTCTTTGTGGGAAACTGTGTGGTGATACATAGAAAAACAGATCATCATGTGATGCAGTTAGCTGGCATGGGGAAAGGAGAGAGGAAATAATATTGAGAAAGATTCTGGGGAGATTATTTAAAATACTGAAGCTTTAAAATAAAATTTGGAAATATCGATTGACCTGAAACTGTGTCAAGCATATTTGGATGCTGGCATTAGGAATACATTCCAGAATCAGAGTGAAACATACTTTAAATGTCTAAGAGAGCAGTAGATAATTTTTATCCTAATGTCACACTGAAAATGTATTTTTGTTTGAATGGGCACTGGGTTTCTTTTAGAAAATAGTATTTCTGGTTAAGTAACTTATTGTACAACAATATAATAGAAGAAATAAATGGAAAAGCTCTTTATCTACTGATACGAAATAATTTCAAGATATAATGAGTGAAAAAAGCAAAGATGCAAAACATATTATATTGTATATTTACATATTGAAGGGAGAATAACATTTGTAAAAATCTGCACTGTGCAAAACATTTCTGGAATGGTACACACAAATAAACGTAACACTTATTTCTCCTGGGAGAAATGTATTGTTGAAAGCAGAGAGGAGGACAGTATGTTGTAAGTACCTTTTAAGTTTGGAGCTATGTGAATATATACCATTTTAAAAACAAATAGTCTCTGTAAATTCAGAAAAGAAATATATTTGCAAAACGTTTACAAGCAATTGGTACCGTTCCATGGAAAACCTCTGGGTGTCGCTGTAGGTCAAAAAAGTGAGAGAAGAAGCTCTTGGGAGCCTCTTAGAGGGTAACTTCTTGCTCTAACCAGCCACTTAGAGGAGACCAGTAAAGATTCAGATACAGAAAACAAAAGCAGGAAGAGAGACCCTATTTGGGCTTTGCCATCCAAGGAGGACTTATTTCTCCTCCCGACCAAAAAGCAGAGCCACCGTGGAGAGAGACAGGATGAGGCAGAGCACAGAGAGGAGCAGCCCAGCGTTGTGGCGGCAGGTATTGTTGGCTTTCCTGCTGTCTTTGTTCCGCGGGGCTCTCCCGAATCAAATCCGGTATTCAATTCCGGAAGAGCTGGCCCAAAACTCAGTGGTAGGAAACCTCGCCAAGGATCTGGGGCTCAGTGTCCAGGACTTGCCAGCCCGGAAGCTGTGGGTTAGCGCGGAGAAAGAATATTTCACTGTAAACCCTAAGAGTGGGGACTTACTTGTGAGTAACAGAATAGACCGAGAGCAGATATGCGGAAAGAAGCCTCTGTGTATTCTGGATTTCGATACTGTCGCTGAGAACCCACTAAATATTTTCCATGTAGCAGTAATAGTGCAGGATATAAATGACAACACCCCGCTATTCAAACAGAATAAGATTGAATTAAAAATTGTAGAATCCACCAAGCCAGGTAAAACGTTTCCACTGGACCCGGCCCTGGATTCAGATGTTGGTCCAAATTCACTGCAAAGATACCATCTTAATGACAACGAGCACTTTGATCTCACAGAGAAACAGACTGCAGATGGACGTAAATATCCTGAGTTGGTTCTGAAACATTCTTTAGACAGAGAAGAACAGAATTTCCATCAATTGGTTCTAACAGCTGTGGACGGTGGGGACCCACCCCAAAGCGGCACAGCTCAGATACAAATCCAAGTGACTGATGCTAACGATAACCCCCCAGTGTTCATCCAGGACATATACAAGGTCAGCTTGCAGGAAGGTGTGCCCCGAGGCTTTTCCGTGCTTCAAGTAACAGCTACTGACCAGGACGAGGGTGTCAATGCAGAGATCACCTACTCCTTTCATAATGTGGACGAACTAGTGGAACAGTTCTTTAACTTAGATAAAATAACAGGAGAAATCACGACAAAGGATGATTTTGATTTTGAAATTGCTAATAGTTACACTTTCAGTGTAGAAGCAAAAGATCCTGGAGATCTAGCGGCACACTGCAGTATCCAAGTTGAAATTGTTGATGAGAATGATTGTGCACCTGAAGTGATTATCACTTCAGTGTTTACTCCCCTGCCAGAAGATTCACCACCAGGAACAGTGATTGCCTTAATAAAAACAAGGGATAGAGACTCTGGAGAAAATGGAGAAGTTTACTGCCAAATCTTTGGAAAGGCCGACTTTATGCTGAAATCTTACTCGAAGAACTATTACAAGCTAGTGACACATGGGCCTCTGGACCGGGAGGAGATTCCAGAATACAACATCATTGTATTGGCCACCGACAGGGGAAAGCCGCCCCTCTCCTCCAGGACTAACATCACTCTGCACATCGCAGATGTCAACGACAACACGCCAGTTTTCCAACAGCCTTTCTATTTGGTTCACATTGCCGAGAACAACCCTCCTGGAACCTCCATCGCTCAAGTCAGTGCCTCCGACCCCGACCTGGGGCCCAACGGTTGCGTCTCCTACTCCATCGTGGCCAGCGACCTGGAGCCACGGGCGCTGGAATCCTACGTGT